AATGTTAACTGAAATAAAATAAAATATAAACAAATTTAACTTATTTTATTTCAGCTATTTTCCAAGGTGATATTTCTCATTTTCATTTAGTTTAACTTAATGCACTAAAACAATTAAAACTGAATAAAACTAGTAAATAAAACACAACAAAATGTAATAAATTTGAACTAAAATCAAAGTGATTAATATAAAAATAAAATCTAATTTAAAATAATAGTATTATATTATATTATATTATATTATATTATATTATATTATAATTCTGCATCCTGTTTGCTATCTCTATTCAAATTAAGAAATTAAATAGAAATTTTAAATTCTCAATTCAGTTCTGCTAATTGTAAAGTTTCGAGTTATTGCATTTGAGCATTAAGAAACCTAACCATAGTTTACTCCAGTTTACTAAACAGACTATTTAGTCTGCTGACTACATATGTCTGTGTTTGTAGTTACGCGTGACTCCAGAGACGTCGGCCAAAGAGATGGTTCGTCTGGTGGTCCAGGAGATCAACGCCGTGTGCCATCACCTGCAGAAAGCCACGCAGCAGTGCACCTGTGCCCCGGATCAGTGCAGATACCCGTCCTGTGCATCTGAGGTGTGTGTGTATGACAGCGAGCAGCTCGAGCACTTCGGCCTGGTTCTGCTGGTGGAGGGGGGAGAGAAATGGCTACAGGACGATTTCTGCCCACTCACGCTACAAAACCCATGGACACGCGGCAAACTCTGTTTTAAATATAACCGTTTTTACTGTAGTTTTGATCAAATAAATGCAGCCTTGGTCAGCAGAAGAGAAATTGAAAATGTATTTTATTTCAGTATATATATATATATATATATATATATATTGTGAATTTCATGTTATTTCATAACATTTTGAAGTAGAAAGAAATAGTATTTTCTTGTACAATATACTCCAATAATCTTTGTTTTTATTTTTTGCAGTGTACTACTTATGTTTTTCTCTGAGAAATAAGAAATTTATATATGAAGTCTATCACACTTATTGAAAAAAAATTGGTTATGAATGGCATTTCATGTTGACTTTAACTGGTTACATGGATAACATCATCATTATCATCACATGTAACACTAAGACCGCGTGTCCACCAAAGCCTTTTTAGCCAGTTGAAGACGGCAGGCGCTTTTTTTTTTTTTTCAGTTGAGACGCTTTGGTTGCTATGATACGAAATATGCACTGAAGTATTATGGCAGACGCATCACAAATGAAATGTTTTAACAAGCATTATTTTTCATAACAGTATTGTGGTAGTCCGGGAATTCCATCTGGTAGACATGAATACTCACAGACAAGCAATATTAACTTCTCCATTGATGTTCAGTCGTAGTACAAGCAGGGAGTGACATGTATTAGTCCCGCCCCTCCTTCACTGTGATTGGTCAGCTGACTAAAAAGTGACAGTGATGAGCGCTGAGTTTTACCCAAAGTTGAACATTCTTCAATTCTCGGCGCCGAGCAAAAAAACGCTGAACGCGTTAAATAAACGCTCAGTGCCTCGTCACACTCTTGCCGTTTTAAAAACCGCGGTGCTCCCATTGAAATCAATTGAAAAAATACGCTAGCCTCAGGAAAAAACACTTTGGTGGACACGCGGCCTAATAGTTTCACTTTATTTGCTCATTTGATTTAGTGCCACTTTAACCAGATGGTGTAAGTTCAGTCTGGACAGAAGCTCTTCCATATGTATTCTGAAGTGAAATGTTTACAGCTTACCATCGGTGGTTTGAAATCACCGCACAAACATTACGTCATGATTTTTGGGTCAATGCATTCTTCCTCAGGATACCGTTAAACCCTTCCACCAAATTGTACACATACAGCAACGGCGGTCGGACGTATCCAGACTGTGAATACTCCATTGGGATTCTCCCATGAACAAAATACACTGAATTACTGAACGTTTCTATTGAGAACGAGTCTACACCGAAAGCACCACCAGAACAGAAGCTTTATCCAAATGAAGAGTGACTTTTGAGTGAGATTGTTTGTGGACAGACACATTGGATTGAACGGACAATACGGGCCGTAGCCATAGAGTTTGATAGACTCTTCCTGTTTCTAATGTTGATTTGTGTTGCTTTGAGTAGCATTTGTGGAGCGTTCACTTTTGTTGTAGTGCGGTGAGTTTATTCTGGATATTGTGTTTACGGTCTCTGTTTGGCGAGTGACGGACACACACGAGTGCAAAGTAAAAATTTTGGTGCAATAATATTTTACACTGTAGCTCGGAAGCGGATTTCTCTTCCAGATGAACGTTGATTTATGGAATCATGTACAAATACACACTCGAGCTGATACACAAGCGCTGTTCCAGATGATGTGTGTTTTGGCATGAGACGTAAGACTGTTTGTCTGTGTGTGTGTGTGTGTGTGTGTACATGTTCCTTGCATGAGCTCATAGTCTTATGGCTGTCCATTTGATGAAAGCATAGATTTGAGCAGCTGCAGTGTGTGTGTGTGTGTTTGTAGTTTACTACATGTATTAATATGAGTGTTTTATTTACAGCTCCTGCCGCTATTGTCTGGTTCAGATTCAGTCAAATCCTCCACGCGTCTCACAATACAGGCAGGTAATGGAAAAATACCATTAATTTTCTTCATGAAGTAGATTTTTAACAATAGCTTTTTAAAACTTTTTAATAATTATTATTGTTATTTTTTGAATCATGTTTTATATATGAATTCCCAGCAGTAAATTACCCATGGAAACAGGAAATGCAGTGACCATCCACTCTTATAAATCACTGCGAATGACATTTCAGACACTCTCTCAATCTGCTTACAGAATATATTTGAATATTTCAGTCAACTTTAAATATACTGTATTTTATGGAAGCCTGTTTCCACCACAGGATGAAAAATAGAAAGTTAACTTAAAAAAAACAAAAAAATCAAAATTGCGAGATATAAACTCCGAATTCTGACAATTTTTTTAATTCTTTGAATTATGAGTTTAAAAAAGAAATTAGAATTGCGAGATATAAACTCAGAATTCTGACTATTTTTCTTGGAATTCTGAGTTAAAAAAAATAGAATTGCGAGATATAAACTCAGAAGTCTGACTATTTTTTGAATTGTGACTATTTTTCTTGGAATTCTGATTTTTTAAAAATTAGAATTGTGAGATATAAACTCAGAATTCTATTTTTCATGGAATTATGAGTAAAAATTAGAATTGCGAGATATAAACTTAGAATTCTGACTATTTTTCTTGGAATTCTGAGTAAAATAAATAGAACTGCGAGATATAAACTCAGAAGTCTGACTATTTTTATGAATTCTGACTATTTTTCTTGGAATTATGATTTAAACAAATTAGAATTGAGAGATATAAACTCAGAATTCTTTTTTCTCACAATTCCTAAGTTACATTTCACAATTCTGACTTTACATCAGAATTAAACAATTCTGTCTTTGTTCTCATATCTCACAACTCTGATTTTATATCTTGCAATACTATTATATCTCACAATTCTGACTTTTTTTCCCCCTGAATTGTGAAAAAGTGAGAATTGTGAGATAAAAAGTCACAGTTATCTTAAAAACACTTTAATTGTTTCATAGTGCACCGGTCACATCATTCACAACATCATTCCCAGTGCTTCATGGGATGAGTGCTTCATTCACAACTTTTTTCCAATTATTAAACACTCACTTCAGTGTAGTGCTGCAGTGATGATGTATTTTTGTAGGCCGACCTGTACACGTCACACTGGTTCCCTCGACAAATAGCTGCCGCATCAGTGTGATGACGTTTAATGACCTTAAAAAAATCACAAGAGGGTATTACGATGTTTTATTTCATAAACATGAGTAAAAGGTGAAAATGTCTTGAGCTTATGTTCACCACAGACTTAATTTCAGGCTTTTAACCAGAAACCCATTCAAAAACCCATTGACTTCAGGATGATGAAAGTGAAAGTGCAAACCTGCGACTTCCGTGCTTTAGGACTTTTTTCCTGCAGCGCTGTATTCATGCTAAGCTTGTGATTCATCTCATCCCTGTAGAGAAGATGAATGGAAAAATGCTCTTTGCTAAATTTGCATGATCTTCACATGCAATGCTTTTCACATTAAATTGACAGAAAATGGACCAACATCATTTTGTTGAATTTGAAACAAAATGCTTCTATAAAAAAAAAAAAAAAAACAGCAATAGAGAGATTCATGCATGTTGGTTTGAGAGACACTTCACATCTTTTCTCTTCATTAGTGTCACTTTTCTTTATTATTTTTGAAGTTTCAATGTGTTTGAATCAGCTGTTCAGACGTTTACCGTTCAATAGTTTGTGATCAGATGTTTTCATTTTTTGAACAAAATTAATACTTCTGTTCAGCAAGAATGCATTAAATTAATCAAAACTGACAGTAAAAGCTTTTATACTATTGCAGAAGTTTTCTATTTCAAACAAATGCAGTTCTTTTGAACTTTCTATTCATCAAAGAACCTTAAAAATAAAACATCACTGTTTCCACAAAAATATAAAGCAGCACAACTGTTTTCAACATTGATAATAATCAGAAATGTTTCTTGAGCAGTAAATCAGCATATTAGAATGATTTCTGAAGATCATGTGGCACTAAAGACTGGAGTAATTATGCTGAAATGTAGCTTGCATCACAGGAAAAAATTACATTATAAAATATATTGCAAAAGATAATAGTTATTTGAAATTGTAATATTTGGATGAAATGTAACCTTGGTGAGCAGAAGAGACTTTGTTTAAATTTTTTTTTAAAAACCCTCAAACTCTTAAGCGCTGGTGGATAAGTCAGTTCAAAACCAGACATCTTTTAGTGCAGATCTGTCGTTTGATTTGATATTTCCTTTCTAATGCAATGGCAGGGCCGCTGTAATCTGTTTTCTCTGAAATAATAGCCTCTCTCTGATTGACTGAATCCACACTGAGTGTCTCACTTCTGCTAAGTAAAGTGTGGGAAACACTCGACAAACACACGCACGCACAACCCAAACTGGCAGACCACACACACACTGGTATACAAGCGCTCCCTCACACACACACACACACACACACACACACACATTAAAGTGCAGTGGAGCGTGTGGAAGACCACACTGTCTTTATTTGTTTAATATATTGTTTTAGACACAATAATAAAATAACCAACTGGCAATTCAATAAAAAAAACAGTACAGTGTTTATTTTTTTGTTTTAAAATATTTAATTTCTTATATAATTTTTTTTTTTTTTTTTTTTTGAAAATATACAATAAAATATATAAAATTAATAAAAAATAAATGCTAAAAAAATGATCATAAAGCGCTTTCCATATGCAGTAGAGCCAACACAGAATAAGTGTACATCACAAAAAAAGTGTACTTAGCATTAACTCTTAGCAAAGAGTTAAAGTGTACTTTTAAGTTAGTATTTTTAATTTAACATTACTACGAAGTGCACGTTTTAAAAGTGCACTTGAGTGTGATAAGCATGAATGTATCCTCTCTTTAAGTACACTCGAGTGGGATTTTAGTTCATGCATATTATATTATCTGCAGAATACACACAATTTTTTCAGAATACACTTTTTTAAGACTTGAAGTACACTGCAAGTGCACATTCAGTACGATTAAGCGCACTTCTGTTTCACAAGGCTGTGCAATCAGACAGTCAGTACTTCCACAGACCTCTAACTTCATCTCTTCATCTTTCTTTATACCAGTGTAGGCACACATACAGTAGTTTGACACGTGTTGGCGTGAATTTAATTATAACTAACCTAATTGGGGAGCTCATCACTAGGTTCACCCTCTATCTTTAAACCGCACAAATCGCAGCCTGTTATTCCCCATCACAGGGCCGTGACGCGGCTCTGATTACACTCCGAATGATAACGGACGTACTTCTGCATCCGGTGGCCTGAAGATCTGACTGGAAGGCTATATGTGATACGAACACAGCGTCCTCTGTGCATTTATAGCATGAAATGATGTGCAGAAATGCATCTGGTTCACCTGTTCTATGCATATTGTGTGCGTTTTGTGTTGGAGTTTGAGACAGACCCCCCTCCGCTCGGGACCCCTGGGGGCCGTAACCCTTTAAAGCACCTATAAAACATTTGGCAGGAGCGTTTGAAGTTTTTATGAAGCGCTGCAGTATTGTTCCCCAGAGAGACTGCGCACTCCACTGGCGCCTCACTGCCCTCGTACACTGCCAGAGCGCGAGGGAGGGGAGCCGCACGTGTGTGTGTGTGTGTGTGTGTGCACATAGTTCTGTTTGTTCTTTCTTACTCTGTGTGTCATAGATGGAATGAAAGTGTGTGTTTATTTGTTGCCATGGTCTTTCTGTCTGTGTAGTAAAGTTTGGGAGTGTTTGGCTGCGTTCACACCGTACCATTCTGATCTTCTCACACCGGATTGTTGTGCAATCTTAGTTGTGCAATTTTAGTATCATTAAAATGCTGTAATAGTTTTTATTAATATTTTGAAGCTTTTTATATTTTCTTTTTGTTTTAATTTTAGTTAATGTGATAAATTTTGTTTTTGTCTTTTTTTTTTTTTTAGTAATATCTATGTAGTTTTACAGGTAGAGTGGAAATTTTCTGATGACTGGTAATTGGCATTGTTTATGATCCAAATGGCTACATGTCATCCCATACTATTTTAAGATTAACTTAAAGCTGTTTTTAATAATTTAATAATATTATACAAGCATAATGATAGATGATTAAGCTGAAGTGTCCTGCTTATATTACAGACTAACTCAAGTTGAAAAAGTGAAAAAGCATAATAGGACCCCTTTAAGTATGAAGTTAAAAAAAATTTTTTTTAATTTTAGAGAAGATTGTTATTATTTTAAATTAAACAAAAGTTTGAATTGAGTCTGTCCATAATGCTAAATTAACTTCAGAAGTTTCATATTTACTGTATGATTGGATTAACGTTTGATTGATGGAGGAACATCGGTGCAGACTGATATTAACACTGCATTAACTTCATTGATAAACAATAGAAAAATGAATCATTCTTCTGCAAAGTTATAGACGTCATGGGTTTAACTGTAGATTGGCCAGCCGTTTAGCAGCTCGCCACATTGAGATTGAATGTAATAGTTGTAGAGTCACAGATTTGTGTGTATCTATCGATTGTTATGAAACAGCTTTGAATGCGACTCATCCAATCAGATCAGTTGTTTTATAGTAGAGATTCTGATGTATTTGAAAGGTTTGATGAAGCCAATCAGAGAAGGCTTTACTCAACTGTTTTTTCTCAGGTTGTCTTGTGCAGGTTGTATGTGCATGTGTGTGTTTTTGCATTCACACACTCACACTGCAGATTCTAAAAACAAACGCCAGCAGCATTTTAATCCACTGGAGCCAGACTGTGTGTGTGTGTGTGTTAATTATTTCTGTTAATATAACACTAATAATCATTCATAAGCCTGTGTTCAGAGCCGGTGGGTGTGTCCTGGATGAGACACAACAGCTGGAGTGGACGTGTGTACAGAGTGATGTCAGAGCAGCCGTCTGAGTGTGTGTGTGTGTGTTTTGTTGAGCGGTAGCAGTGAAACGGCAGTGAGAACAACCACCACCACATACTGATGAATTAAGCACGCTTCAACCCTGACTTCAAAGACACACATACACACACACACACACACACACACTGTGCCATTGTTTAGAAATATGATTGGATTGATGGATGGAGTGATGAACAAGACTAAGATGAAATGAGTGCTTGTGTACATACTGTATCTATAGTAACACACATATCCAGACAGGATTAATCTACACACACACACACGTTTACCTAGCTATCAGAATGGTGGCATTTCATAGACTTCTTATCTATCTGTCTGTCTGTCTGTCTGTCTGTCTGTCTGTCTGTCTGTCTGTCTGTCTGTCTATCTGTCTGTCTCTGTCTGTATTCTGGCGGTAACTGAACTGTGTACTCTAGGGGGCGATAGAGTTTCCTTCAAATGTCTGTGTGATTCAGGAAGCTACTATAGTTATAATCTCATACTTGTGTTACACAAAACTAGTGTTCTGACACTTAATAGGAAACATAATAATAATAACTAACAAAATTGCTGCATTTAGACGTTGCTTAATTTTATGTCCGAAATATTGCAAAAAAGGCATTCACGTTCTGAATTTGTAAAAATGGCTACAGGACCCAAAAATAACCTACTGAAAAATTAAATAAAGCATCTGCACACTTTGAAAGCTCCCATCTACAGGATTGTAATAAAAAGTGATGCTTTGAGCCATTCAGCTCTTCCTCAGATTTTATTAAACGGACTTCCTGACATAGAGGAGAAATGTAGCACCAATAGATGCTCTGCAGTGAATGGGTGCCGTCAGAATGAGAGTCCAAACAGCTGATAAAAACATCACAATAATCCACACCACTCCCAAAGCTGTGTGTTTGTAAGAAACGAATCCATCATTAAGACGTTTTAACATTAAACTGTTGTTTCTGGCCAAAATATGAGTCCATAATCCATAATAACACTTCATCCAGTGTAAAAGTCCATCTCCTTGAGTTGTGTCTCACATTAAAATCAACCCACATATTTGTTTAGAACCATTTTGGACTGTTTTGGCTTGATCTGAGCAGATTTCTCTCCTGATTCAGACCAGATGACTTTTTCACTGGAGGAAGCGTGATTATGGATAGAGGAGTCTTTTAGCTGGAATAAACTGTTTAAAAGCATCTTGATGGATTTGTTTCTTACAAACACACAGTTTTTGGCTTCACAAGATGTTAACTGATGGACTGGAGTGGTGTGGATTACTTGTGGATTATTGTGATGTTTTTATCAGCTGTTTGGACTCTCATTCTGACGGCACCCATTCACTGCAGATGAGTGAGCAAGAGATGCAATGCTACATTTCTCCAAATCTGATGAAGAAACAAACTCATCTACATCTTGGATGGCCTGAGGGTGAGGACATTTTCAGCAGATTTTCATTTTTAGGAGAATTATTCCTAGTTCCTAAAAAGGATGTCAGTACACACTAGTAGTTTCTCACTCCCACAACTATATGCTTTATTTCCTTTGTCAGTAGATTGTGTTTATATTGCCAG